ATGGAGCAGCATGTGTGGGACGTAGCCATCAGCCTAACCACGGTGGTGGTGGCCGGGCGTTTGCTGGAGCCCCTATGGGGGGCCTTGGAGCTGCTCATCTTCTTCTCAGTGGTGAATGTGTCTGTAGGGCTGTTGGGGGCCTTCGCCTACCTCCTCACCTACATGACTTCCTTCAACTTGGTCTACCTGTTCACTGTCCGTATCCACGGCACCTTGGGCTTCCTAGGTGGTGTTCTGGTGGCACTCAAGCAAACCATGGGGGACTGTGTGGTCCTGCGAGTGCCCCAGGTGCGCATCAGTGTGATGCCCATGCTGCTGCTGGCACTGCTGATCCTGCTGCGGCTCACCACGCTGCTCCAGAGCCCAGCGCTGGCTTCGTATGGCTTCGGGCTGCTCTCCAGTTGGGTGTATCTTCGCTTCTACCAGCGCCATAGCCGGGGCCGAGGGGACATGGCTGACCACTTTGCTTTCGCCACTTTCTTCCCTGAGATCCTGCAGCCCGTCGTGGGGTTGCTGGCGAACTTGGTGCATGGCCTCCTGGTGAAGGTAAAGATATGCCAGAAGACGGTAAAGCGCTATGATGTGGGTGCCCCATCCTCCATCACCATCAGCCTGCCAGGCACAGACCCTCAAGACGCCGAGCGGAGAAGGTACTGTGAAATTTTCCAAAGTCTTGTCAAGCTAGCATACTGGTCGAGTCACATGCCATCTGTTGAGGTGTTTGCTGTACATAAGGTGGAGACCTACAGTCAGGTGTTGGGGAAGATCCGGAAAGATAAAATCCGTTTTGGGCTTGAGGAACTCAGGTGTCTGGGCTCCGCGAGGCACTTTTCTCACCTCTCAGGCCACTTAGCAAGTCTCAAGAAATGCAGTTTCCTTTGGTGCTGTGAAGGCCCAATGGAGGGACAGAACCCTGGCCTTGCCTCAGAATGTCAGAATCTTAGACACTGGGCCTGTGGGAAACAGAAGCAACCTGCTGGTCCTTTCCCCTGAGGGAGGGACAGGGAAGGAGGCCTGGGGTCCTCAAAAAGTGATCTGGGCCACTCCCAATTTCCAAATGCTGTGTCCTCTTTCTGGACTTTAATTTAGATGCTGTTCTTCTCTGCCACTTATTTATCAAGAGGGAAGCTTGGGGGTATTACCAGATTTACCCCCTTCTCCAGTAGGCATGTGTCACCAAAACCAGGGACAGGCTACATGACCCACTGAGGGAGCCTGCTGACCACACCAGGGAGTGGCGCTGGCCCTTTCGTTATCTGTAAACCAAACCATCCACAGCATCAGGAGTCCCAGCTGAATTCTTCACTGAATGCACTTTGGCCAGGGCAGGAGGGATCTTTTTAAATTCAGCTCTTATTCTCTCTCCCAGATCTCGCCACCCAGCAGAGTGGTCCCAGCTTTCACAAGTTCCACAGCTCTATTGCCAACACTATTCTTAAGTGTTTTGAGGCAATTACTTGAGTAGTAAAATCTGGGGCAGGCTTGTCTTTTGCATTGCCAAGGCTCCTGCTTTTGCTCACCTGTCAATGGGCTCCTGGCTGGAAGCTCTATTAATTCAGCTGCAGTTAACCCTGTATTTATTCTCCACCGGGCTGTGAAATTGAGTGTGGAATACATTCATTTCCTGAAGGAGTTCCAGCTGGGGAAGGGCTGCAGCTCACTATGGCCCAAGGTGTGGTAGGTGTTCTAAGTATATACAGCATGCTGTGGGGCATAATTCTGGGCCCTATAGCTTGGGTTTTTATAGGTGATAAGCCCTAAGGATAGAAGTCTGTCTTAACCTTAGCTGGTATTAAAGATGGGGCCAGGAGAGCTGGGCCTGGTAGGAACTGAGCTGTCCCTCAGAGCTGTTCAGGTGGGGCCAGGCTGGTGGGGACCCCTCCTCCACTGAGAGATGTGGGATTGTTAGGGTTGGCTGGACTTTCAGAAACCTCTGCTCAGGCCCAAGAATCTGGACAGGGGGAAAGCGGGTAGGTGGGGAGGAAGGGAGGGTCAAGAGGCGGGCTCTTGGCATAGCCTTGTGGTTGTTAGCTTACATGGGGGTGGGGTTACTCTTCCAGCCAGTTTGACATCTGACTACATGGCCACACCCAACTCCAAAGGGCTATGGGGAGTGGGAGGAAGGGTTTCCTATCTGTCTCTCTGGTCCTTGTGAGGAAGTGACCAGCGTGACACTAGCTCTCTGCCTTGGCAGGCTTTAGACGAAACTGGCAAGGGCATCATCAGGATGGGAGCCTGGGAAGCAGCAAGGAAGGCCTGTCCTGTCTATACCAACTTGTCATGTGCCAGGTTGACGAGCAGGATGGAAGTGTGCTAGAGCTTTCTACACCCGTGTCCTTGTTGCCTCTCTTGTCATGTTCCCTGGCATGGTGGAGACTTTGGTTCTCACCTGGAACCTGGAAGGCTACACAGGCTGTCCCCACATTGGTGGCACAGAGAGGCTGAGGCATAGGAGTCCACAGTGGTACTGCTGGAACTGTTCCCTGGCAGCTGAGGCACTCCACCTTCAGGTGGGCCAGGGTCCCAGGCACATGTGTAAACCTTCTTCTATTGGACTTTCTCACCTGCCCTCAAAGCAGGGCCTCTGAGGGTCTGCCCCGTGGAACCAACAGGCTCTGGCCTGTGCCCCCCATGTGGGCTGTTTCTCCTCCTCCTCCTCTTACAAGGGCTCCACTAAGTCCCTGCTCTAACAAGGGCCTTAGTGGCTTTGGTGATTCTTCTCAGAGGGAAAATACTAGCTTCAGAAGGGTAGACTCACCCAAGTTGGCCTTGCTTCCTGGGCTGCGAGCCAAAGGAGGTGTTGAGTTCCAGCTTTCCCCATTGACCCTTGCCAGGAGGCTTGAGATACCCTAACCAGGAGAGGGGCAGAATTAACCTGTAACCCTTCCTGGCAGGGCGAGGTGGCTCACACCTGTAATCCCAGCACTTTGGGAGGCCAAGGCGGTGGATCACAAGGTCAGGAGTTCCAGACCAGCCTGGCCAAGATGGTGAAACCTCGTCCCTACTAAAAATACAAAAATAAGCCGGACGTGGTGGTGAGCACCTGTAATACTTGGGAGGCTGAGGCAGAGAATTGCTTGAACCTGGGAGGCAGAGGTTGTAGTGAGCCAAGATCATGCCACTGCTCTCCAGCCTGGGCATAGAGTGAGACTCCATCACAAAAAAAAAAAAATAAAACAAACCTTTCTGCCAGCACCCAGACAGAAACTCCTGGAAACTCCAGGAACTTGCTGTTCCACACACCCTTAGATACCACCCTCAAAACCATTCCTATGGCTGGCCTGGTGGGCAGTCTGGCAGACACCCAGCTGACCTTCCCAACCTGGAGGTGCCTCAGCTATGGAATGAAGATTCTTATGGCCTTTGGGTTATTATGATGGCAGAGTGGTCCCTAAACCAATCTCTGGGAAGCCCCAGGCTCTGCATGGGGAAGAGGAAACATGGGATTCTGGGGGAGGAGTCAGCCTGCTGCAGAAGGGTAGAGGGCATGAGCCAAGGCCAAACCCAGAGTGACCTGTCCTCTCTCCTCTGGCCCCAGGCAACTCGCCCTGAAGGCACTCAATGAGCGGCTGAAGAGAGTGGAGGACCAGTCCGTCTGGCCCAGCATGGATGATGATGAAGAGGAGGCTGGGGCCAAGGTGGACAGCCCCCTGCCCTCAGACAAAGTTCCTATACCCCCAGGGAAGGGGGCTGCTCCAGAATCCAGTCTAATCACCTTCGAAGCAGCTCCCCCGATGCTGTAACTCCAGACCAGCTTGAGTATGGCACCTCCTCTCCTGAGCCCCCCTTGACATCCTCTCAGCTACTCCAGGGCTCCTGACTGCTCTGAGGAGAGGGAAGAAGGCCTGCTGGGGGTGTCCATGGCCTTCTGCTGTTTCTCACCAACACTACCCAGGACTCTTGCTACCTGGCTCCAACTCCAGACGACCACTATGCGAGGCCTGGGGCCTCTGAGGCATTAGCCAGTCCAGGCCCTCATCTGAGGTAAGAATGTACCTCAACTGGCAGTCCCAAGCGACTGCAAGGACACTGATGCCACAGCTCCTGGGCTGGCCCTCACATCTGAAACTGGTTGCCGAGAGCCCTGAGCCAAGGCAAGGATTTGCCAAAAATGTTCTGGGGGCCCAGCAAATGCAGGAGCCCATGTCTCCAGAAAGACTGTTCCTGCCAGGATTTCTTGTTTCCCTCTGCTGTGGCCATGACTGCTTCTGGACCAGAACAGCTCCAGCTCCCAGGTATTTTCTACAGGACCACCTGAGTGTGCAGCCAAGCCCAGGCTTGCAGTATCAATAAAGCAGTTCTTTGAGGAATGACTCCTGGGCTTTTGTCAGGCCACCTTGTGCCACCCCACTGCTCCGCCATCACGTTCAACTGCAAAGTTAGAGTCTTGGTTGTCTCCATGGTAACTCCAGCTGGATAAGAAGTCCATTGCCCCAGCTCCCCACCACCACCACCACACGCCAACTACCAAGCAACCTTCCAAGAGCTATTGCCTCAGACCCTTATTCCCTTTTTTCTTTCCCTCCGATCCCCAATTTGGGAGGCTCTCTGTGCCTGCCTAGATGGTAAGGGCCTCTCTATCATAAGGCATTGTTCTTATCCACGGTTTACTTCTAAGACAGAATACTTGGTGCTTGCCACCCCTGGAGACAGCCCACTCCCAACTCCCATCCTGTTACTGTGTGTATCTAACCCCCACAGTCTGGAGATTCCACCGCAGTGGACAGCTGGGGCATGCAAAGGACACACAGCTGTACCATTCACAGCTGCAGCTCTAGGGCCTGCCAGGGCCCTGAGTGGCCTGGGAGGCTCAGCAGCTAGATCCTGGGAATTTGTATGCTGGGAGAGCTTCAGGCCCTCAGGGAGCAGCCAGGGATCGGGAGGGGTCCCCATCTTGCCTAGCTGCCCATTTTCCCATGCTGATGACATTAATAAGAACCATCCCCAACTCTGGGCTGCTTCTCCCATCAATCTTTTTAGTCTTTTTTTTTTTTTTTTTCAATTTTTTACTTTTTCCTCTCCTGAAATTTCTAGACATAGAGTACAAGTATGAGCTGCCTTGCAGGGGAGGCAGTCCTGCAGCCCCAGCTTCATCCAGACACATGATGCCTATGTTCCTTTGGGATGACGAAGAGAGGGGAAGGAAATGGGAGGCACTCCAACATGAGGAGCAGGAATTCACACATGGGCCTCCAACTGTCCCAGTGCCTGAGGTGTCCGCCTGACTCAGTCAGCTGAGAGAGTTCAAGAAGTACCTAGTCCCAGCTCCTACATGGAGGGACAAATCCAGGCTTCCCTAGGCTGGGAAGAGCTCATGGTTGGATCCTCTTGCGGTATAGGTAGGCATTGCTTACCTGGTTCATAATGACCAAGCTGGTGAGGACAGGGCATAGTACAGCTAGATACCAGGCTGCACCGGTGACAGAGGCAGTGAACCAGAGTGAGCACATGCCCAACAAGAGGCTGGCACTACCCAGCAGGTAGCCCACCAGCCCAGAAGTAGCATGGTATAGCTTGAGCTTCGCCAGGGGCCATCGGGGCAGCAGCTTGGGATAGAGCAGCCCCACCCCACCTGAGCACTGCAGCCCTGCCCACAGTACAGCCAGCAGCCCTGCCTGCCCATGCCTCGTGGCAAGGTGGGCTTTGCCAAGCTGTTCTTTGTGGAGGATGACAAGGCCGAGGCCCAACAGTGCACACAACAGAGCCAGCAGCTGCAGCACCCAGTGGCAGCGTGCTCGGCCCTTCCGTGAGAGGGAGCGCAGCAGCGAACTCTCAGGAGAGAACACCAGTAGTGCCTCGGTCATCAGGAAGGAGAACTGAGGAGACAGGGGATGAGAAACTTAAGTGAGGGTGCTGCCCCACAAGAGGGGAGGAGAACTTTATGTAACCCTCAGTCAGTGAATCTGGGTTGATTTCCCCTTTTTCTTTCTCTCCCCACTGACAAGACTATCCATTTGGTGGGGCAAGAGTGGAAAACCCCATCTGGGATGATATATGTGCCCTGAATAATCTCCACACTTCTTCCTAGGTGCTAGTCTGAAATGTCATCTCTGCTATGTTACCAAGCAAACACAGGGTTTGAGATGTGGCAGTTATAAATGATTCACAAGCTTTGTTTTCCTAACTTGCAGCTGGATACAATTTCTTGGCAAGAGCCGGCCACATGAGTGGACTGTTAGGTGCATCACCAGAAATTAAAGTAAAAAGGATCAGAGGTACATACATCCAAATGCAATTTCTCACCTTTCTGTCTGGAGGTGGGTGAAGCCGAATTTTGTGCTTAGATAAACCTCACCTGTTTGACCTGGGTCTTAATTACTCTGATTCATGTCTTTTTTTGGGGTGGGGGGGGAGTGGAGACAGAGTCTCTCTCTGCAACCCAGGCTGGAGTGCAGTGGCGTGATCTTGGCTCACTGCAATCTCTACCTTCCGTGTTCAAGCGATTCTCCTGCCTCAAGCTCCTGAGTAGCTGGGATTATAGGCCCACACTACCACACCCAGCTAATTGTATTTTTAGTAGAGACAGGGTTTCACCATGTTGGCCTGGCTGGTCTCAAACTCCTAACCTCAGATGATCTGCCCACCTCTGCCTCCCAAAATGCTGGGATTACAGGCGTGAGCCACTGCGCCCAGCTTCAAGTCTTAAATATATACCATGGGCAGGAGTAGCTGGAGCATGCAACTCTTCCAAACAGATATTAAGTGTGGACAAAGATTCAGAGGCTGCCAGGGCCACCACCCATGCCCATGCTCCCACCCCTAAGAAGTGCCCGGGCCCACTACTTACAGCCAGAGACATAAGCACCGGGTGCCAGGAGAACAGGCCTGGAATGAGAAGAGGAGGCCTCATAGGGGTGAGGCAAGAAGAAAGCAGCCGTACCGATCCTTAAGGGTTGAGGAATACCAGCAGCCCATCACCCAAGGAGGTACTGCCAAACTGTGAGCCCCTTCTTGCTCTGCAACAAACTGACCCCACACCTATCTTCTCTTCCTGGCGCCTTCCTGGATCAGAGGCCATGCTTTGCCACTCCTCTGGCAGTCTTCCCTCCTTCCCCTGCACCTCCCATGAGGTAGCCAAATAGAGTCCTCAGATAAGGAAAGAGAAACCAGGAACCCTGCGTGGCCCATCCACACCTACCTGCTCCACCCCACTCATCCCTCCAGCACGGAATTCCCTCAGCTAACCAGGCCTGCTCCCGAGAGTCCCACTGCGCTTCCTCCCCAGGAAAAGTGGCCCTTCTTCCCTTCCCAGAAGTCAACTATGAATTCTACTTACTGGAGCCAGGCCTGGCAAGCACAGTCACAAAGATGGTAAAGCCCAGGGCCACAAGGTGGGCAGCAGCCCCAGAAGCAGTGCGCAGAGCTCGATAGATGTGCGACTCGGTCTCCGCAGAAAGGGCCATGGTCAGCTGTGCCAGTGGCTGTAGCCTGAAAGCATAGTAGCGTGGGCCAGGGTCTCAGGTGCCCACTGTTCACTCCTCACTGGAGAAAAGGCTGCAAGGCAAGAATGCCACCCTCTTCCAAGAAGTTATGGTAGAAAAGAACAGTATCAGGCCCAGCACCAGGAATGGTCACAGCAGGCCAGCTGAGGGCCGGCGGCCTGTCAAGAGTGTATCCACGTCTGAACTGGTACCAATCGCTGACCCGCCTTCCTGGTAGGATGCGCAAAGCCATGTAAGACTACAAATCCCAAAGTGTACCACGCCGTCGCCGGCGGAAGGTAGAGCCAGCTGAGAGGGCGCAGAGCACTATGGAAGTTGTAGTTCCCTGCTACCCAGTTACAGCGTGAATCCCTTCGCGTGCGCCTCCCCAGGTGCTGCCGGCATGCTGCCCCTCCACGCTAGAGACTTGCCTGCCTCACCCGCAGAGCAGATTTGATGTGGTGGTTTCCTCCAAAGAAAGCGGGATATACCGGGCCCTACCGCGCGCACCGCTGCTCCGTCGCGGAGCCGCTTTACTTCCGGGTGCGGCGTCTTCCCACCCAGGACTTCCTGGGACGAGCCCCCCTCCCCCACCAGCCACGCCTCTGAGTCGCGCTGCGCAGGCGCCACTGGGCAGAGGGATTCGCAAGCTTGCATGCCCCAGCAACACAGGCCTCGGGCTGTCTCTGACAAGTGTTCACAGGAAGTGTGGACGCCTCCGCGCGAGGGACGAGGAGCTACGGGCCTGGGCCCGGCTATCGCAATGGGCAGCGGCTGCCGCATCGAATGCATATTCTTCAGCGAGTTCCACCCCACGTTGGGACCCAAGATCACCTATCAGGTGCCACCCGGGCTCGCAGGACTGGGCGGGGAGAGGGAAGTTCTCAAGAGCTAAGTCAGCTGCCTGGAGTCGGTAGATTCCCGTGCTGCATGCAGGCACGCTAATTCATTCTCGGACAACTGTGAGGCTAGAGGATAGTCAGACCCAGGCCTTTGGCTCCCGATGTGGCGGGGTATATGTCACAATGGCAGTGTTTTTAAGATATCGGGCTGTAGGGAACCGGTTGAGGGGTTCCAGGTCCCGCGGAAGGTGAGGTGGATGACCCATGAGTATCCCTGAACTGATTGAAGAGTAAATGATGCATAAGAAGTTTAAATAAAGGAGGAGAAAGTGTTCTGGCTAGAGGGAACAGCATATGCAGAAGCCAGGAAGGAGATGAGATCATATCGTGTGACTGGAAACAGAAAGAAGTAAGACGCCTGAGTGGCTGGGAGAGAGGGGAACGCTAGACAAGAGGACTTGGGCCTGGGGGGCATGCGTAGGTCACCATTTGTACTACACCCAGTACAAATGTCCACTGAGGGGACCATTGCCACTCCCCTCCCCAGGTCCCTGAAGACTTCATCTCCCGAGAGCTCTTTGACACAGTCCAAGTGTACATCATCACCAAGCCAGAGCTGCAGAACAAGCTTATCACTGTGTGAGGCCTTAGCTTGCGATGCGCGGGGGTGGGGGAATGGGGGAGGTGGCAGGGGTGGTGGCAGAGGAAGTCCTGGGAGGAGGAAGGAACAGGCTTAGGTGCCTGACCCTGTTCCAATTATCCAGCACAGCCATGGAAAAGAAGCTGATCGGCTGTCCTGTGTGCATCGAACACAAGAAGTACAGCCGAAATGCCCTCCTCTTCAACCTGGGCTTCGTGTGTGATGCCCAGGCCAAGACCTGTGCCCTCGAGCCCATCGTTAAAAAGCTGGCTGGCTATCTGACCACACTAGAGGTCTGCAATGAGATGGGCTTGGGTTTAGACAGGCAGAGTTGGGGAAGGTGTTCCTATGTCTCCACAGTCCCCCAAACCTGGGACCCTGCCAACCAGCTCAGGACTCAGGACTCAGGGCAACCAGCCAGCCAGGCGTCCTGGGATATGCCCACCATGCTGTCCATGCTCTATCTAGCTAGAGAGCAGCTTCGTGTCCATGGAAGAGAGCAAGCAGAAGTTGGTGCCCATCATGACCATCTTGCTGGAGGAGCTAAATGCCTCGGGCCGGTGCACTCTGCCCATTGGTATGGCCAGCCTCTGCAAGGACAGCAAAGGGGTGGAGGAGAGATGGGAAAGTGAGTCCAGCCAGTGGGGAAGAGGGACAAGACTCATGAACAAATTAGAGACCAAGAAATAGCCACTGGCTGAGGTGCCCATGTCCAGGGTCCAATGCATGATGGAGCTGGGACTGGGGGTCAGGGGGGAAGTGGAGCTCTCCAGCTCTGCCCCTTGGACAATTCCTTCCCCTTTGTGGGCCTCAATTTCTTACTCCATAAAAAGAGAAAGACTAGCCCTACCCAGAGGCACCTCCCTGCCCCAAGGGATGCTGGGAGGCCTGGATGGTAATTCGGGGCCTCTTGGAAGAAGTGGCACTTAGGATATGGTTGGGACCCCCTGCAGATGAGTCTAACACCATCCACTTGAAGGTGATTGAGCAGCGGCCAGACCCTCCAGTGGCCCAGGAGTATGACGTACCTGTCTTTACCAAAGACAAGGAGGAATTCTTCAACTCGCAGTGGGACCTCACTACACAACAGGTATGCCACCCCTCCCTGGGTATCATCATCTGGGGCTGGCCACAGCCCTGGCCTCATCCTGTTCCCTCTGACCCTGTCCTACTCTGCTCAGATCCTGCCCTACATTGATGGGTTCCGCCATGTCCAGAAGATTTCAGCAGAGGCAGATGTGGAGCTCAACCTGGTGCGCATTGCTATCCAGAACCTGCTGTGAGTGGACCTACAGTCACACCCAGTACAAGGTCACCAGCAAGGGAAGAGCTCAGGGACCCTAGGGTGTGAGGGTTGGGAAGGCATGGTCCTCAGAAGCTGAGCACAGCTGTCTCTCTCAGGTACTATGGCGTTGTAACACTGGTGTCCATCCTCCAGGTAGGTGAGTTGGGTTTGGTTAAGTGGAGAGTGGACTGTGTGGCTGGACCAGATCAGGGCTGTGTCAGTTTCCCAAGCCCCTCACTCAGGCCCCTATGCCTTCTGCTGCCCTCTAGTACTCCAATGTGTACTGCCCGACGCCTAAGGTCCAGGACCTGGTAGATGACAAGTCCCTGCAGGAGGCATGTCTATCCTATGTAACCAAGCAAGGTATTGGTGGGCTCTGGGGGAAGCCAGCTTGGGGAGGGCAGGGCCACATGGTAAACTGACCCCTGGCACCCACAGGGCACAAGAGGGCCAGTCTCCGGGATGTGTTCCAGCTATACTGCAGCCTGAGCCCTGGCACTACTGTGCGAGACCTCATTGGCCGCCACCCCCAGCAGCTGCAGCATGTTGATGAACGGTCAGAGAATTCGCTGGGGTATTTGGGAGTTACCTGAGGGAAGCTAGACCCTTTATGTCTCTCAGCAGCCCTGGGTCATGGGGCACTGCTAATCCAAGCAGGCTTCCTGGAGATGATGGGCTACTGAGACAAAATTGAAGGGAGACTAAAGAAAAGAGTTGGCCTGCCTGAAAGAAGGCCTGGCCAGGGCATCACCCCTCTGTCCTCTCATCCTCACCCTAGGAAGCTGATCCAGTTCGGGCTTATGAAGAACCTCATCAGGCGACTACAGAAGTATCCTGTACGGGTGTCTCGGGAAGAGCAGAGCCACCCTGCCCGGCTTTATACAGGCTGCCACAGCTATGATGAGATTTGCTGCAAGACAGGTGGAGGCAGATGGGCAGTCAGGGTGGGGTCAAGGCAGGGTGGCCAGGCCAAGACCACTGACCTCTTCTCCACCACCCCACCCAGGCATGAGCTACCATGAGCTGGATGAGCGGCTCGAAAATGACCCCAACATCATCATCTGCTGGAAGTGAGGCTGGTGGTGGCTGGATGCACACATTGCTGTGGGTAGTCCCTCCTGCCAGTAGGCTTGTCATACTGTCTAGAGATTGACTGTTAGTTCTGTAAATAAAGTCATCCATTTCAAACTATCTTACTGAGTATTGCCACGCGAGACCCAGCGATGAATGAAATAGCCACGAGCCTGTGCACTAGATCGCCATCTGGTGGACAGGACTGACAATCGACAAGTAAAAGTGCTGGTTAATTATCAAAAAATCAGCCGCTGTGGCTCACCTGTAGCCCCAGCTACTCAGGAAGCTGCAGTGGGGGGATCGTTTGAGGCCAGGAGTTGGAGGCTACATTTAGCTGTGATCCCATCACTGCACCCCAGCCTGGGTGACAAAGCAAGACCCTGTCTCAAATAAAAATAATAAATAAACCTAGAAAGAAACAGATGTAGCATGGCCCAGTGGCTCATGCCTATAATCCCAGCACTTTGGGAGGCTGAGGTGGGCAGATCACCTAACATCAGAAGTTCAAGACCAGCCTGGCCAACATGGTGAAACCCCATCTCCACTAAAAAAATACAAAAAAAATCAGCCAGATTACTGCACACCTGTAATCCCAGCTACTCAGGAAGCTGAGGTGGAAGAATCACTTGAACCCAGGAGGCAGAGGTTGCAGTGAGTCAAGATCATGCACTCTACCCTAGGTGACAGAGGAGATGCCACCGCAAAAAAAAAAGAAAAAAGATGTGATCAAGAATGAATTGGGTTGGAAGCAGGGACTGCTCTGGATTAAATGGCCAAGAAAGGCCATCCAACGTGTAAACTGAGCCCTGAAGGAAGAGTATTCCAGGCACAGTGCAAAACCCCTGAGGCAAAAACCTCTTTGGAATGTATGAGGGAGATCCAGGGAAGCAAGGGGGAGAAGCGAGTATCCAAGTCCCAAGGTATGAGAGAGGGCAAGAAGTAGATCTTGCAGAAGTGCTAGTAAGCTGTGACAGACCTAGCATTTGGTGCTCCGAAGTAGCTGCAGAGCCTCTCTCATGCCAGAGAGTAATTGTACACGTTTTTTCTTTCTTTCTTTTTTTTTTTTTTGAAACAGTGTCGTTTTGTCCTCCAGGCTGAAGTACAGTGGTGCAATCTCGCCTCACTGCAACCTCTGCCTCCTGGGCTCAAGCAGTTCTCCTACCTCAGCCTCCCGAGTAGCTGGGGCTATAGGTGTGTGCCACCACACCTGGGTAATTTTTGTATTTTTAATAGAGACAGAGTTTCACCATTTTGCCCAGGCTGGTCTCGAACTCCTGACCTCAAGTGATCCGCCTGCCTCAGCCTCCCAAAGTGCTGGGATTACAGGTGTGAGCCACCGCGCCTGGCCTGACATACACTTTTTAAAAAGAGGCTCCCGGCTGTTCATGAGGACCAAGCGTGGAAATAAGTCTAGAGAAAAGGCTGCCACAGGTATCCCATGACAGGTGACGACATTCTGGATGGAGAGAAGTCGTGCGCCCTGGCAGTAAGTATTTCAGGAGCCAACTAGTGGAGCCGGGACGCCATAAGGAGGAGGAGGAGGAGCAGCGAGTGGGTCAACATGCCACAGCCGCAGGAAGAGCTGGTGGGGTCGGGGTTACCCCATCCCTGTGCAGGCCGACTTGGCGTCCCAGGAGAGAGTCCAGGCCACAAGAATCGGGAGAGACTCGTGGGTCACAGCCCGAAAAGCTCTGGGAATCCAGGTACTGTAGCGATTGGCAGCGGCCTAGGTGAGGCCGGCGGTAGACCCGCCCGGATTTAGGCGAGAGCTACCTCCAGGGGCGGGCCCAGGCCGCAATGCGCAGGCGCGGCGAACCCGTTTCCATGACTGCGAGAACCCACGCTCCCCAACCGCCCCGTAACTGTCCGATCCCAGACTTTGGCACCGTCGGGCATCGTCCCCGTGTGTTAGTAACCCCACCCGACTGCTGCCCAGGGTCTGTCGGACCCCGGCCTCGACATGGGAGACCTGGAGCTGCTGCTGCCCGGGGAAGCTGACGTGCTGGTGCGGGGTCTGCGCAGCTTCCCGCTACGCGAGATGGGCTCCGAAGGGTGAGGCACCTGGGTCAGGCGGAGTCATGGGGTCATTGTCCTTGAGTGGGGGAGCTGGGGCCTGATACGGGTGGAGGGGCTGCCCAGTGTGGAGGGGCCTCCAAATGGGGAAGCAGAGCGTTCTGAGACAGGAGTATTATTGCTCCTGAGCCCCCTGTGGCCCCTTAGGATCAGGTTAGGTTTCAGTAGGATCCAGCCCCCATCCTCACTCCTAATGCACACACGTGCACCCACATGCACTTACCCTCGGGGGCAGGTGGAACCAGCAGCACGAGAACCTGGAGAAGCTGAACATGCAAGCCATACTCGATGCCACAGTCAGCCAGGGCGAGCCCATTCAGGAGCTGCTGGTCACCCATGGGAAGGTACCCTGAGGTCACAGGCAGGATTCCTGCCTTCCTCCATACCCACTCTACCCCTCAGGAATGCCCTGTGTGTTTTGCCCTCTGGCCTGGTATACCTGTCCTCCCTGAAGGTGAAAGAGGAATGTGTTACATTATGTATCCCTATGGACAGGACTCTGGCACACCAGGCCAGGTGCAGGGCATGAGTTGAATAAAGAGAAAGTTGCAGGTCCTAGAACAGCTTAGGATTCGAGGGGAAGGCCCAAATCCTAAAGGCATCTGTGAATTGACTGTAAGGCTGCGGGGGAGGGGAGATAACTTAATTGGAAGTGGATCTTTGGCAGGGAAGGAAGCAGCCTTCCTAACATGAGAGAGCAGAGTTAGAAACCAGGGAGATGCCTGGCTGGAACATGGACCAGGGAGTATCACCAGCAGATGACCTGAAATATCAATTCACACACACACACAAAAAAGAGTTCCTTTGTAAGAGAAAGGTGGAGCTCATTACTAGGGGATAGGGTAGGAACAGGGCACTGTGAAGGGTCCTGAGTAAGAGTGAGGCCAAGGCACACAAGAGCCTTGGAGGACCAGAGGACAAGGACAAGAGGGAGGGCATGAGCAGAAGGGCTGGCTTGAATGCCTGAATGGAGGGAGAGAGGATAAGGGTACAGGTGCAGGCAGGGCAAGGCAGTCTGGGGACTGGGCAGGAGCCAGTCACAAGCATGGGGGACATCCACAGAGGTGTTGGGAGCAGCTGGAAATGAAGGTCCAAGTTGCAAAAGAGAAGTCAGGAAGGATACTCATGGGGTCTAGGAGAGTCTAGGGGCCCAGCAGTGTTTGAGGAGATCTGGGCTGAGCTGAGCCAGGGATGGGAGGGTTGCCAGGCTAGGCCCATCTTACCCCTGTCCTTTCCCCCTGTCCTTTCCCCCCACTTCAAAGATCCCAACGCTGGTGGAGGAGCTGATTGCAGTGGAGATGTGGAAGCAGAAGGTGTTCCCCGTGCTCTGCAGGGTGGAGGACTTCAAGCCTCAGAACACCTTCCCCATCTACATGGTGGTGAGCTGGCCCCTAGTTCATACTTCCTCCCACTCTTTCAGAGGGCTCTGGACCCGGGAGGAAAGCTGGTGGCCCCTATCCCTCCCTCAGGCCCTGTCCTTCTTTTTGTCTAACAGGTACACCACGAGGCCTCCATCATCAACCTCTTGGAGACAGTGTTCTTCCACAAGGTGAGAGACTATCTCTGCCCATGGGCCACTGTTCCAGGTCAGGGCCTGGCAGGAAAGAAGGTTGCATCTGTGTGAGGAGGGCATCAGACACAGAAAGTTTCCCTCCCCGCTTCACCCAGGAGGTGTGTGAGTCAGCAGAAGACACTGTCTTGGACTTGGTAGACTATTGCCACCGCAAACTGACTCTGCTGGTGGCCCAGAGTGGCTGTGGTGGCCCCCCTGAGAAGGAGGGGTCCCAGGACAACAACCCCATGCAGGTGGGTTGAGGTTCCCTAGGGTTGAGAAGGCCTAGGTCTGGGTTCCCCAAGGCCTGCGCAAGTGAGAGTGGCCCAGTGGCCCAGCATAAACACTGTGTGGCCTCCCAGGAGCTACAGAAGCAGGCAGAGTTGATGGAATTTGAGATTGCTCTGAAGGCCCTCTCAGTACTGCGCTACATCACAGACTGCGTGGACAGGTGGGCAGCCTGACTGGGCCTGGGCCTACCGTGGAAGGCTGGAAGACTGGGCCTGTAGCCTGCCTCTGCTCACCTCCTTCCCAACATTCCTGCCCCTAGCCTCTCCCTCAGTACCTTGAGCCGCATGCTCAGCACACACAACCTGCCCTGCCTCCTGGTGGAACTGCTGGAGCATAGTCCCTGGAGCCGGCGGGAAGGAGGTAGGGTCCTCCCCCACCAGCCTAAGCCCCAGGCTACTGCTTCAGGATATCTTTTTGGTAAAGGGGGATAGCTTGCATATATGAAAACAAACCCTGTCCCCAAGCCCACTGAGGATACCAGGATGCCTCAGCCAAGCTTGTCCTAGACCTGAGCTCTGCAGCAGGCCAGGCCCATGTGTCCACTACCGAGGCTCATCCTGCTCTGGGGTGAGCAGCACTATATAGCCTGCCCAAGTCCTGTGGCCCAGGCTCTCCCACCATTCCCAGGCAATGGTCAGTCTCCCAGGCCCCATGGCTGGCTCACTTGAAGAGAATGCAACGCCTGCACCCAGTGTGCTGGTTCCTCTCCCCAGGCAAGCTGCAGCAGTTCAAGGGCAGCCGTTGGCATACTGTGGCCCCCTCAGAGCAGCAAAAGCTGAGCAAGTTGGATGGGCAAGTGTGGATCGCCCTGTACAACCTGCTGCTAAGCCCCGAGGCCCAGGCACGCTACTGCCTCACAAGTTTTGCCAAAGGACACCTACTCAAGGTCGGACTCCCTCCACACCAGTCCCCACAGCCCCAGCACTACCCCTCCCCATCCTACCCCAACTGCGTCCCTGCTGTTTATCTTTGCCCACCCACCTCAGTCCCAGTACTCTTTTCAGTCCTTGGGCCTCAGGTGACACAGCAGCTAGTGGGACATGGGTCCCTACAGGCATGCTCAGCCCAACCCAGCCCCTTCCTTTTCCTTGGCCCCCTGGCCAGCACCTGCATCACACTGGCCTCCACTGGATACCCTTGCAGCTTCGGGCCTTCCTCACAGACACCCTACTGGACCAGCTGCCCAACCTGGCCCACCTGCAGAGTTTCCTGGCCCACCTGGCCCTGGCTGAAACCCAGCCCCCTAAGAAGGACCTGGTGTTGGAACAGGTAGGCACTGGAAAGTTAGCTGCTCAGGACCACTGTCCTACTTTACCAGCTCCTTCCTACCACTCTCCACTTCTCTCCCCTAGATCCCAGAAATCTGGGAGCGGCTAGAGCGAGAGAACAGAGGCAAGTGGCAGGCAGTTGCCAAGCACCAGCTCCAGCATGTGTTCAGCCCCTCAGAGCAAGACTTGCGGCTGCAGGCACAAAGGTAAGGCCTGTGGAACTGGCAGGGTGGGGTGGGTGGGATGCAGGAGGCATGGATGTGGGCAGGGGTGCTCCCACCTTCCAGGGCCAGTCAGACCTTCCTGATTCTCCCCAAGGTGGGCTGAGACCTACAGGCTGGATGTGCTAGAGGCAGTAGCTCCAGAGCGGCCCCACTGTGCCTACTGCAGTGCAGAGGCTTCCAAGCGCTGCTCACGATGCCAGAATGAGTGGTATTGCCAAAGGTGAGGATATCCTAGGACCTTGGACCCCTAAGCCCTACTCCCACATCCCCCACATGTGCTGAGATCCTGAGTACCCACCTGCCTACAGGAAGTGCCAAGTCAAGCACTGGGAAAAGCATAAAAAGACTTGTGTCCTGGCAGCCCAGGGTGACAGAGCCAAATGAGGGCTGTCCTTGCTGAGGGCTGACCAACCCATGCCAAGGGAATCCACCCAGAACGCACCCCTGAATCTCAAGATCACGGGCCAGCCTCTGCCAGAGCCCCAGTCTCTGTGGTGGAGAGCAAAGCGGGCGGTAAAGGTGCTGACCCATCCCCCTCCTCCCCTCCCCAAGGGAAGGCTTGAGACTTCCTGCTCCACCCTGTGGGCAGGCCAAGTGCTTTGCCTCAGCAAACCGGGGCGGGAGGGCGAGGGCCGGATGCGGGGACCCTCTTCCTCTAGCATGGTAAAGCTGGCCTCCAGAAACACGGGTCCACGTGGTGTTTTGCGGTCGCCGGCGTCGTGGCCGTCGGGGGTTGGGGGTGAGGAGGGGACGAAGGAGGGAAGGAAGGGCAAGGCCGGGGATCTGCGAGAGCGCCCCCCACCCCGACACACGCCCAACCCCGCCTTCGGGCCCCACAGTCCCCCCCACCCGGGTTTCCATTGCGCGGCTCTCAGCTCCTTCCCGCCTCGTCAGCCTAGATCTCGGGGGCGGTGCTAAAGTCAGACCCGCCCTGCGGCCCCGCCCGGCCCGCGCTTCCTAGCGCCCAAAGCCAGCCAAGCCCCGGTCCGACCGGGCCATGTCGGCAGAACCTGAGCTCATTGAGCTGCGGGAGCTGGCACCCACCGGGCGCGCCGGGCAGGGCCGCACTCGGCTGGAGCGTGCCAACGCGCTGCGCATCGCGCGGGGTACTGCGCGTAACCCCGCACGGCAGCTGGTCCCGGGCCGTGGCCACCGCTTCCAGCCCGCGGGGCCCGCCACGCACACGTGGTGCGACCTCTGCGGCGACTTCATCTGGGGCGTCGTGCGCAAGGGCCTGCAGTGCGCGCGTGAGTAGCGGCCCCGCGCGCCTACGAGAGCGGAAGGGGCAGCCAAGGGGCAGCGCCGTCGCCGCGGGTCAAGACGCGGCAGAGGGTCGGCAGGGACAGCTCCCGCAGACTAGGTCCGTTACTTTTGCCCCATCGCTGAAGAGTGTGCGAAAATGGTTTATCCCTTTTCGCAGTCCTCCCGTATCTGGGGCACAGATGGGCAGAGGTGGCTGCTTGTATGTAAAAATGTGCTGATTTCAAGTTTCTTTAAAGTGCCTTGGCCCTTCTTGAGAAAGGATTTGTGCCTACTGTTCTCTGAGGCCATCTTTCCAGGCTTGCCTCTTCCCGAAGATTCACTCACTGTGACTCCCCTCCAGAACCTTTGGGGTGAAGTTACCCACCTATATGGGAGGGAGCCTGGAAAAAGTTAGAGCCTTGGGAGGGCCCCCTGCAAGCAGGAGTTTTGTTGAGTCTTTATTTAGCAAACACCCATTTCTGACCCAGTGAATCAGATGCTAAAATATGGAATACAGTTACACACCCAGCAGTCCTTCTGCACCCCTGGGAATCACCAGCAAGGCAAAAGTTGCTCTCCCATAGCTAGACACCAGCTGGAATCACCAGGGGCACTTTTACAGCCCTCTGACCTTCTATGCTTAGATCCCACCTCAGACCTGTTGAATCAACTGCTGGGAGTGGACCCTAGGCATCAGCAAATTTTAAAAACTCCCCAAATAATTGTAACAGGAACTTGTGGGTGGTTGGTGTCCCAGGTCTGTGTGTTCGTGGAGACCCTCTCATCTGGTACAAGAGAATATCACAAATTCAGCTGGGGGAAGCACAAAGTTGTGAAAGAATACAAAGAATGAACAAGGAGACGGCCACGGTGGCTCACGTCTGTAATCCTAGCACTTTGGGAGGCCGAGGTGGGTGGATCACCTGAGGTCAGGAGTTCAAGATTAGCCTGGCCAACATGGCGAAACCCCATCTCTACTAAAAATACAAAAAATTATCTGGGTGTGGTGGTGGGTGCCTGTAATCCCAGCGACTCAGAAGGCTGAGGCAGGAGAATCGTTTGAAGCCAGGTGGCGGAGGCTGCAGTGAGTTGAGATCGTACCACTACACTCCAGCCTGGCAACAGAGACTCTGTCTCAAAAAAAAAAAAAAAAGAACAAGGCTGGGATATTGTAGCGTTCTCAAAGAAAAATAAAGTGGCCATGGAGATAAAAAAAAAAAGCAGGACGATTTGGGCGTGTATCAGAAGTAGAGACAAGGGAGGAATCAAAGATAAGTAGGTTTTGTCTCCAGTAACTGGGAGCAATGTGGCCATTTTTGCTGCAGTGAGGAAGCTAGGCAAGGGTAGCAGTGAGGTGGAAGAAAGGGGAATTAAATTTTGACCATGTTCACTTGAAACATCCTTTAGACATCCTAGTGAAGGTACTGGCACAGAGGATCTAATCTAGGTCAGTGTTTCAACTGTGGATCTGAGGCAGGTGGGTGTAGAGAGACCAGGCCAGCTATCAGGACTGAGCCCAGACCACCGTGAGATCTGGAAGTCGAGTCAGAATCTGCAAAGGAGCTGAGCAGGAGCTGCAGGTTGATAGGAGGAAACCCGCGAGAATGTGTCCCCGGGGAGTCAAAGGGAGCAGGCTTCAAATGATGCTGAGGGGGTGAGAATGGAGACTGGGATACTGGATTCCATTTGGCAGTATGCAGATCGCTGAGGACCCTGTCCTGGGCAGTTTCCTGGAGGGAGAGGCAAGCCTGGCTGGAGTGGGTGGAGGAGAGAGTGAAGGCTGATTAGAATCTATAGAGACCAGTGTTTTGGTCTGAGGGGAGTAGAGACGGATGACAACCAGAGGGAGGACATAGGTTAAAGACGTTTGGTTTTGGCCGGGCATAGTGGCTCACGCCTGTAATCCAAGCACTTTAGAGGCCAAGGTGGGCGGAAAAAGTTTGGTTTTCCCCTCAAGTAAATGGGCAGAAGTGTTACATAGAAGTTGCAAATAAGGAAGGGGGAACCTCTGCGGGAGGCAATGAGATCCAACTGTTGAGCAGGCGTGCATCCCAACTGCCTGTGGCCTTCCGGCCGGTTTCCAGACCCAGGGTGACCAACATTAGAGTCCGCCTAACAGTGGGAGGTAACCCACTGAGATAGGCCGGGCCTCTGGAGCCTGGCGGGCAGCGGCCCACTCCCTGGGGTTTCCCTTCAATCTCCGGGACAATTCCCCGACCTAGGGCTGCTCCGCCTTACGGCCAGGCCTCTCTGCAGATTGCAAGTTCACCTGCCACTACCGTTGCCGCGCGCTCGTCTGCCTGGACTGCTGCGGGCCCCGGGACCTGGGCTGGGAACCCGCGGTGGAGCGGGACACGAACGTGGTGAGCGCGGGACTGAGGGCGTATGAGCAGGGCGAGGAAGGGCAGGCCACAGCGCAGGCATTCCCGAGGGCTGCCCGGTGCTGCGCGCAATGAGCGTTCTAATTGCCGATTTCCTAGAGGCAGAGAGAGGCTAATTCTGCGCGGGGGCTGGGAGGGGTGCCTGGATTGCCGGCTCCGCACGGACTCCGCAGACTGCCGTCAGACCGCTGCCGAGGCGGGCCCAGGCTCCGCGCACGCGCAGTTCCCACACCTTCCAGCCCTCGCCTACGGCCAGTGGCCACTCTGGTGCGGCTGCGTAGACGCTGGCACCCGCCCCGTTTCCTGTAGAAGGTGAGGTCTGTAAGTGGAGCTGCCGGAGCGATGAGGTCATTCCTGGGGGCGAAGCGTGCGTATGCCCGCCCCGAAGTTCCTCCGCCAATGAGACAAGAGCTAGATCCCGGCGATCTACGTTTCAGTCTTAACGGTTGCGCTCGCCGGGGCGCACGCGCACACTGACACGCGTACAGGCACGCATGCGCGCACGCGACCGGGGAGGTGGTTGGCGGCTGCGGACGCTCAGGACTAGAGAGACGGGCGGGCAGGGCTATGGGCGAGGCGGAGACGCCTTCTTTCGAGATGACCTGGAGCAGCACGACAAGCAGTGGCTACTGCAGCCAAGAGGACTCCGACTCGGAGCTCGAGCAGTACTTCACCGCGCGAACCTCGTTAGCGCGCAGGCCGCGCCGGGACCAGGTGGGAGCCAGGGGGTGCCGTCAAGGGGCGGGAGGCTGTCGCTGGAGCCCCACCCTCCCCGGTGAGTTGCCACATCCTGGGTCGGTGGGTAGCCCCGCCCTCCAGGCTACGTGGCTCCCCGCGGGTCCTGGCCGAGGACTGGCCCGCGGAACCGTGTGTAAGACCCCGATTCCAGCGCGTCGATACTGGGTGCTGGGGCCCCCTTGGTTTCTGTCATCGACCGGTTGAACAGAGAAGGCAGCTGCGTGGCTTGTGGTAGATCTGAGCCGGGCATAATCCGGTTATGACTAAAGCCAACCGAGCAGCTAGCACCTCGATTTCCGCGTTCGGATGCTCCTGCCGGCTTCTTGGGGAGACTAGGGGAGGAAGTGGAGAGGGAGGAGTCCTCTCCAGAAATTGAGAAGTATGTTTAGGAAAACTGAGAGGTAGAGGGAGATCTCCTCTTTATGCACTCCTGGATGGAGCCAGCTAGCTGCTGGGTTGTGGAAGATTCTGATCCCTCCTCTAGGATGGATCTGGAGAAAGATTTGGAATGGATAGAAAGGAAGTCTTGTTTTGGACCATAAGCATTCAGGAGCATTTTATCCACAAGAAGGGGGAAGGTTATATTGTAAAATGCCTAAAGAGGTGGAAAGAGATCCAGATTACTAACCCAGAACTGTAAGGTGTCTTGGAACCTCCTAGGTGTCCCCATTATCAGAGAACTCTGTGCTAGGTGCCATGGGTGTAACCACCAGGCTCAGAGAACCAGGCCCGGGCACCAGAAGAGAGAAATAGGGACTGTGAAGCTCAGTATGCCTGGTATCAGTGGGGTGGAAATCCTTATTTAAGTAAAGAAAGTGGAGTTGTGGGTGATGCTTTAGATAAAACTTTACAAAATTTCTTACAAAGGGGTTGGTGCTCAGCACCCCAGAATCTCAGCCCATAGCTTGGGTGCAAGGGTTGAGTGTAGATGCCTGGGCTTGTTTTCATGTCACTCAGTCCTGAGTCATTTTCCACTGTGGAAAGGTGGGAAAACTAACCAATTGAAAAGGAGGGCTAAGCGTGGTGGCACACACCTTATGTATGTAATTCCAGCTACTCAGAAGGGTGAGGCAGGAGGATTGCTTGAACCGGGGAGGCAAAGGTTACAATGAGCTGAGATCATGCCACCGTACTCCAGCCTGAGCAACAGAGTGAGAATCTGTCTCAAAACAAAAAAATCAGTTTTTATGAATGGTGGTAAAGTGGAGGGTGGGTCCCTATGGTGCAGAAGGGAAATTCCATGGTCCTGCTGTGCATCCAACTGGCATGGCTGTTGAAATCCTCTTCTAGCAGGCAGCTTTGGAAACAGAAAAAGAAACTCTTCCTCCTTTAGAATCCTGGAAGGACTGTGCAGTGCCTCTAGTCCAAGTCCTTTGTTTTCTGAATGAAGATAGTGAGGGAGGTTCATCTCCAGAAGGGAAGGAGCTGGAAATGAGGTCACTACATCCCAGCCCAGGGTTCCTGGATGATCCAGGAAGGGAAGAAGGAGCAAGCTTTCTCATTCTTAGGTAGGAGCTCAGAGCCAACACAAGAATAAGTTAACACCATCCCTATTCCCTCCCTGTTCTGCAAACAGAATGATCTTCCTTCTTGCCCTGGCACTAGAGTGTGCCTGGTATTTCTCTTACCACTAGTACCGTTCCCACTGGTACACTGAACAAACACATCTACCGCTTACTCACAGCTTGCAGCCCTCATTTTCCAGGACCCACACCATTTGTTTACTAACCTGAAAAGGTTGCCCACTGTCCCCAATAAGGTTTGTGCTGGGGTTTTCACTCCAATGCTCTCCTCCATCCAGGAGACCTTTGGATACTTGGGGAAGCACATGAGCTTCAGTTCCACCCCTCACGCTGTACCTTTTTCCGGGGAAGCCCTGGCCTCAGTTCTCAGCCCCACTTCCTTGCTAGCCGCAGAGTAGCAGCGAGTTCTGGGTGAGGAGCATTCTGCTAAAAGACCATGGGCTCCACCCTGCTCCCTCATCTGTCCTCTCCATTTGTCCCCATCAGATGGTTTAAGCAGCTTAAGGAGACTCCAAGGCATAGTCAGGGAGAACCCTGGCTCTCCTGGGCTGGGCACAAAATTATTCTACAGGAAACCTGTGGGAATTCTTCTGGGACAAAATATTGGTCAGTGCCGAATTCAGCTGTGTCTGTGACACTCCCATTCTAACTAGGGCCTATCTGACGTCAACAGGAAGTAAGGCTGTTGCTGTGGGCCCAGGGAGTCTGAGAGAAGAAAGTCAGTTCAGAGCCCTGGCTGCCCTGTCCCACACTCCACCCTTCTGGCAAGAGTCCAGTCCCTAGATGAGGTAGGGAGTGAGTGGTGGAGTTAAAAATCTTTGGGCCGGGGACAGTGGCTCATGCCTGTAATCCCAGCACTTTGGGAGGCTGACGTGGGCGGATCACTTGAGGTCAGGGGTTTGAGACCAGCCTGGCCAACATGGTGAAACCCCATCTCTACTAAAAATATTTTTTTAAAAAATTAGCTGGGCATGGTGGCGTGTGCCTGTAATCCCAGCTACTCGGGAGGCTGAGGCAGGAGAATTGCCTGAACCCAGGAGGCAGAGGTTGCAGTGAGCTGAGATCGCGCCATTGCACTCCAGCCTGGGTAACGAGTGAAACTCCGTCTCAAAAAAAAAAAAAAACAAACAAAACAAATTAGCTGTAATCCCAGCTACTTAAGAGGCTGAGGCAGGAGAATCACTTGAACCCGGGAAATGGAGGTTGTACTGAGCCAAGATCAAGCCCACCACACTCCAGCCTGGGTGACAGGGCAAGATTTCATCTCAAAAAAAGAAAAAATCTTTGAGCTAAATCTCCAGACAGCACAGGCAGCTGCAGAAACCCACCAGGAAGCTGTCCAGACCCAAGCCTTTTGTGCAGCTTGACTCAAGGTCCCGTCACAGTGATTTTTCTCACTATGTATGAGACATGGAGAGCTGACTCCAAATACTACTGCTCTGCCCACTGATGGCTGGACTACTGATGTGCATCACTCTCCACTCCTCTCACCCTGCAGTGGGTCATGGCCCTGTGCTGGGGCAGAGGAGAAAAATGGGCTGCCTTCTTTAGGACAAACCCTCACTCCAGCTCAGCTAGGGTTCTGTGATTAGAATGCACAGTTGAGGTGTGTTTACTTTATTCTTTGTTGTTTCTGTTTTTTGAAGCAGGGTCTCACTCAATTGCCCAGGCTGGAGTACAGTGACACAAAAATACTAGCCACAAAGACAAAGATTGTAGCCACAATCTCCCAGGCTCAAAAGATCCTCTTACCTCAGCGTCCTGAATAGTTGGGACTACAGGCACACGCCACCACATCCGGCTATTTTTTTTCTTTTTTTTTTTTTTTTTTTTTTTTAGTAGAGATGAGGTCTTGCTATGTTGCCTCATAAGCAACATAAGCTGGTCTCAAACTCCTGAGGATCATCAAGTGATCCTCCTACCTTGGCCTTCCAAAGTGCTGGGATTGCAGTATGTAAGCCACTACACCCAGCCTGATTTTACTTTAAATGAGAGCCCCTCCTTAGAGTCCCTCAGCTGTTCCTAGCCCCTGGCCATCTGCCTTCAGTTGCCCCTGCTTCTGTCGTATCCTTAGGACTACACTGAGTGCTGAGGCACTAGGCAGGTAGCAGAAGCCAAATGATTCTGCCTTTGCCTTATCTACTCATAGTGTGCAGAACGAGAAGCAGTGGTGGGTTCAGGGCAGGCACCAGCTGGGCAGCTATATATATGTACATCAGTGACGGGGCCAAAGGCAGTCAGTTTCCAAGGACTGCCCCAGAGGCCTTTTTTCAGAGAAGCCCTGGGTTCCTCAAGGGCCCTGTGTCCATGCTGGCCCATCTTGCAGGACGAGCCTGTGGAATGGGAGACACCTGACCTTTCTCAAGCTGAGATTGAGAAGAAGATCAAGGAGTACAATGGCCAGATCAATAGCAACCTCTTCATGAGCTTGGTGAGTTGACTGCTCAGGAAGCGGGTGTGGAGAGGAGGTACCCAGCTGTATGCCTGATACCCAGAGGGTCACAACTGAGGATTCTTGGGTGGTGATACCTCAGGCAGTAATTACCAAGCGGTAATTAGTACATACCCAGCCTAGCCTCAGGTAGACAGAACCCTAGTGCTTCATCTCACCTGGAACCTACTGTCAAGGTTTGGTTTCTTTATTTATTTAGAACAAGGACGGCTCTTACACAGGCTTCATCAAGGTTCAGCTGAAACTGGTGCGCCCTGTCTCAGTGCCCTCCAGCAAGAAGCCACCCTCCTTGCAGGATGCCCGGCAGGGCCCAGGACGGAGTGCAAGTGTCAGGCGCCACACTTCCTTTTACCTCCCCAAGGATATTGTCAAGCACCTGCATGTGTTGTCACGCACAAGGGCACGTGAGGTCATTGAGGCCCTGCTACGAAAGTTCTTGGTGGTGGATGACCCCCGCAAGTTTGCACTTTTTGAGCGGGCTGAGCGTCACGGCCAAGGTGGGCTTCCTACTCCACCCTGCCTCATGTGAGGGTATATACCGTGCATGCAGGGACTGAGCAGCTGGCCTGTCTCTGATCATTACTTCCCCTTCACAGTGTACTTGCGGAAGCTGTCGGATGATGAGCAGCCGCTGCGGCTGCGGCTCCTGGCGGGGCCCAGTGACAAGGCCCTGAGCTTCATCCTGAAGGAAAATGACTCTGGGGAGGTGAACGTGAGTACATAGTTCTTCTTAGTTTCTTGGTTGTCACTGGACGGGGCTGATGGACTGTAGCTACAGTAAGGCTTGGAGGAGGAATTGTGCTGGAGGACAAGCCTTGCAAAGCAGTTTTAGGAGTGTATAGGTATTGTAACTAAAGTGAAGGCTTCCAGACCACTCATGCCAAAGCATAGGGTTGTCCCAAGAGGCCAGGAAGAATTGTCTTGGTGCTTTGATCTTTCCTGGTGTGGAAAATCTTCTGGAGATGCAGGAGTCCATCTAATGACATGAAGGGGCCCCTTCAGGCATTCGACTTTTTACCTGGAAGCTGTGAAGTGGAATTAGACCCAGATTGTGCCTGACCTGTCCACAGGGAACATCTGATTTGGTTACCTCAGTAAGGTGACTGTTTTGTAGGACCCATCTTCCATACAAACTGCTGTCACAGATCCTAGCAGAACTCATTCAGCCAGGAGCCTGACATCAGAAAGCCCAGTCCAACTCGTGTGAACGAACATGAGGTGCTAGTCTTCTCTGAGAAGCTGGCTTGGCCATCCCTTCTGTAGCCTGTATATTCCCCTTTACCCCCTTGCAGTGGGACGCCTTCAGCATGCCTGAACTGCATAACTTCCTGCGTATCCTGCAGCGGGAGGAAGAGGCGCACCTCCGCCAGATCCTGCAGAAGTATTCCTATTGCCGCCAGAAGATCCAAGAGGCCCTGCACGCCTGCCCCCTGGGGTGACCTTGTACTCCCAGGTGGAAGGCGGAGAGCAGGCAGTGCCAAGAGCGTGCTGTGTGAGTGTGACAGGGCCAGTGGGACCTGTGGAATGAGTGTGCATGAAGGCCCTCCTCCGCTGGGGGAATGAGCCCAGAGAACAGCGAAGGAGCTTGCCCCCTGTGTCCACCTGTGGGTGTAGCTGGGTATGGCTCTGCACCCCTCTGCCCCTCTGTACTGGGCATTGGTGGGCCAGGGCTACCCTGGGAAGGAGCAGGAGTGGAGCAGACAGAAGTCTCCTCAATTTGTGTCTCAGAAGTGAGAATCTTGGAGACCCTACAAACAGAACAGGGTCATGTTTGCAGGGGTGAGGGCCCTCATCTATAGGGAAGGGTTTTGGATCTTGAATGTGGTCTCAGGATATCCTTATCAGAGCTAAGGGTGGGTCCTCAGAATAAGGCAGGCACTGAGGAAGAGTCTTGGTTTCTCTCTACAGTGCCAACTCCTCATACACCCCGAGGACAGGGAGTACTGGCTCACAGTGCAGCAAGTGCCTTTATGCCTCATAGGAAGAGGATATCCCTGGGCCAGGGTCTGTGTGAATGTGGGCACTGGCCCAGGTTCATACCTCGTTTGCTAATCAAAGCCAGGGTCTCTCCCTCAGGTATTTTCCATGAAGTGTGTGGATGTATGTAATGTGTGGTGGCCTCAGCTGAATGGCTCCTGTGGGGAAAGGGGTCGGGGTGACAGTCATCATCAGGGCCTGGGGCCTGAGAGAATTGGCTGAATAAAGTTTTAAAGATCCTCCTGCTGTTGGACTCTTTTTTTTTACATATAAAGTACAGTAGAGATGGGAGTCTCTCTGTGTTGCCTAGGCTCCTGCCAACTTGGCCTCCCAAAGTGTTGGGTTTACAGGTGTGAGCCACCGTGTCCAGCCTGGACTCTATTATAGGCACAGAGCTGCAGTTGCCCCTCATGCTGCTGGAAGTTGCCAAGGGTGATGGACAGGCCCACAGGTGTCTGGCAAAGTCACCATGGACCAACTTGTGAAGAAGATGTATCCATATATAGTCATCACTCAGCTCCCTGAGGCTCAGGTTCTGTTGGGGACAAGAATGGACTATAGTCAGAACTTAGGGAAACTGACCTGGGCATGATGGCTCACACCTGTAATCCCAGCACTTTGAGTGGCCTAAGCGGGTGGATCACTTGAGGCCAGGAGTTTGAGGCCACCCTGGCCAACATGGCTAAACCCCATCTCTACCAAAAATACAAAATAATTTAGCTGGGCATGGTGGTGGGCATGTCTAGTCCCAGCTACTCGGGAGGCTGAGGCAGGAGAATTGCTTGAACCTGGCAGGTGAAAGTTGCAGTGAGTGGAGATCACAGCACTGCACTCCAGCCTGATGAATAGAGCAAGACTCGGTCTCCAAAAAAAAAAAAACGGCGGGCACAGTGGCTCACACCACACCTGTAATCCCAGCACTTTGGAAGGCCAGGGTGGATCACCTGAAGTCGGGGGTTTTTAAGACCAGCCAGACCAACATGGTGAAATCCCGTCTCTACTAAAAATTAAAAAAAAAAATAACCGGGCACGGTGGGGGTGCCTGTAATCCCAGCTACTCGGGAGGCTGAGGCCAGAGAATCGCTTGAACCTGGGAGGCAGAGGCTGCAGTGAGCCAAGATCGTGCCACTGCACTTCATCCTGGGCGACAAGAGCGAAACTCCATCTCAAAAAAAAAAAGAAAACCAACACACACACACCACGCTCTGGGAGAAGCTATGGCATAACCCATTCACCAAATACTGAGCTGCCATCGCGGACCAGACACTGCTCATGGCACCAAGGGTATAGCTGTTAACAATTCTTGCTTTCATTAGGCATGCACTGGCTAGGTTTGAAAACAATTCGAAGTTCTTCAGACCGAAATGTAACTATATGAATTTGGCCGGTTCCTTAATTTTCCTTCGACTTGGTTACGTCACATAAGCGTGGCAATGACAAAAATATAGCTGTGAAAATAGAACCCAGGTGGACACCCAGCGGTACGGCCTGAGGCCCTGAAGTGCTGGTTTGAGGATTGGTGGTTGAGAAGGCCTGCTAGGCCTGAACTCAAGTGTTGGGGGACGTCGCAGCTGCCATATACACCCAAGAGACTGGGAGGACTCACGACCACCACTTTCCTCGGTGGGAGCTGTCCCAGCTGGTCAGAGCGCGGCTTGCTGGGACCTGGGATCTCGCAACGCATGCTGGGGTGCACAGCATCTCAGGACGACCATTGGTCCCGCCCCACGGACCGACTAGAACAACAGTCAATCAGAGGCGACAGCGTGCGGAAACGGAAGTGAGGTTTCCGTGGAGACAGCCGAACCTGCGGAAGGCGGCGGCGGCACCTGCGACCAGCTGCTGGGACAGGGTATGGTGGCGCCGACTGCGCTGTAAGCAGAGCGGCCGCGGGGCCAGCCATGCGCCGGCGGCCCTGACATGGGCGCCAGCGGCTCCAAAGCTCGGGGCCTGTGGCCCTTCACCTCGGCGACCGGGGGTGGTGGCTCAGAGGCAGCAGGCGCTGAGCAAGCTTTGGTGCGGCCTCGGGGCCGAGCTGTGCCCCCCTTCGTATTCACGCGCCGCGGGTAAGGGCATGGGTTCCACCCTAGGTGGGGGGAACAGGCGGGCGGCCAGGCGGCCCGCGCTACGGGGGAACTTCCACTGCTGTACCCCATTACAACCGACCCAGGACAGCCCCCATATTTTGAGCCCCCATTGGAGATCGGGATGGAGAAAGCCGGGGAGTGGTCTCCAGGCGGCTTGGCCACTATGAAGGTCTCCCTGAGAAGAGTGGGCCTGAGGCTTGTCACTGGGTCGGCCTTCCGCATGGTAAAGCTAAGCTAGGGCCTCCATGAGACCTCAGGACCGCTTCCGTCTCAGTCTGCATACTAAAGGCTCCTAGCCTTTTTCCCTCAGTTCTTCCAAGAGGATAATGACCTTCTGTTTAGGCTGCTTTTCCTGACAGTAGTGAGGTTGAGCCTCTGAGGGTAGTGGCTGGGGAAGCAGGGATAGGTCCCCGTATTGGGAGTGAGCCTGAGGAGAAACACTCACCCAGTTATGTTCTCCAGATACAGAGCGCTGACCTACCCACCCAGTCCCCACCCCAGTCTCCCAGGGGCCCAGACAAGAGTACCAGATTGGCTTGGCCCTAGTAGACTCCTGGAGATGGGTGCTCCCAGTGCTGGAGATTTGGCTGTAGACAACAGGAAGACCCAAGAGTGGGCAATTCACCAGCCACTTGGGGCATGGGGTCGGGGAGACACTGCCTTCATCCCTTTGGGCTCCTTCTTAGCTTAGGCATCTGCTATCTCAGTCTTTGACACTGGGCCAACAGCATCTTCTGGAGTGAGACCAACATGCCCAGGCCACAACCCTGCCCACTCTTGAAGTCCTGGGTGAAGGCAAAGGCCTCATATTAGAATAGCTGCCCTTTCTGAACAAATAAGTAATGAGAACTGGCCTTGGTGGCTGCCTGGATAGTGTGCTTTGGTGTGGCCTCTCTTCTTGGGGGTCTGACATAGTAGCACTGCCCACCTATCACCCCACTTCCCACTTTCTTCTAGTAGACTCCAAGCCCCAGGCAAAGGATTCTCCAGGCAGGCCAGACATGGTGGCTCATGCCTGTAATCCTAGCACTTTGGAAGGCCAAGGCGGGTGGATTGCCTGAGTTCAGGAGTTCAAGACCAGCCAGGGCAACATGGCAAAACCCCTTCTCTACTAAAATACAAAAAATTACTAGGGTGTGGTGGTGCATGCCTGTAGTCCTAGCTGCTTGGGAGGCTGAGGCACAAGAATTGCTTGAACCCAGGAGGCAGAGATTGCAGTGAGCCGAGATCACGACACTGTATTCCAGTCTGGGCAACAGAGTAAAACTCTGTCTCCAAAAAATACAATTTTTTTTAAAAAAGGATTCTCCAGGCATATTATTCTCATTTCTTCCCACTTGGGAAGACCACAGACTTCCCTGAGGTCTGTGACATTTGCCATGCCCAAGTTTGGGGCTCCAGCCCAGCCTGTTCCCCTCTCCCTCTACACAGCTCCATGTTCTATGATGAGGATGGGGATCTGGCTCACGAGTTCTATGAAGAGACAATCGTCACTAAGAATGGTCAGAAGCGGGCCAAGCTGAGGCGAGTGCATAAGAATCTGATTCCTCAGGTGAGGGGCTGGACAGTGGTCACAGAGCCGACACTTAAGCGTGTGGAGGCAGACCCAGATGGGATCTGTTGTCATGGTGGGGGCTCTTGGGGTGGGAGGGATCTGGGAGGAATAAGAAAACTTCCGGAAGTAGAGGCCCTAACCTGACCCTCACTAGCTTCTGTTTCTATGGCAGGGCATCGTGAAGCTGGATCCCCCCCGCATCCACGTGGATTTTCCTGTGATCCTCTATGAGATGTGAGCCTGGGAGGTGGCAGACAGAAGCACACCCTGCCCCAGCAGGCTGGAACTCCCAGGCTCAAGGTGTGGCTTCCATTGAGGAGCCCCAGGCTGGGACCACAACCCTGAATAAACTCCGTTGGCCCATAACCTTCAGCTGTGAGCGGGTCAGTCCCACAGTATTGGTTGGGTGTTGGTTTGTGTGTTGGCAAGAGGTGGTTGGTGGCTGGTAAAGGCTAATGGCAGAGTTAGCACCCCACTCTCCCCAGCCACCCCTGCAAGAAGCATGGCAGGGCATATACCAGTCAGGAATGCCCAGTACCTGGTTCCTTGCCTGGTCTGCTTTCCAGGATTGCCTGGGGCCTAGCCCTGCTAGAGGCTACAGCACTTTACAAGCAAGGTCTGCCTTCTTCCAGCCCCTAGGCTGTGGGCACTGTCCTTTCCTTCACTTCCCTTTTGACCCCCTAGTCAGAGCATTTCAGCCATTTGCTACCTCGATTCCTCCTGTGTTGGACAGAGGCTGGGGGCAGTGCTAGCCTGATTCTTCCCACCTACCTGCCATTTGTTCCCGCCTTCAGATGGATGGACAGTTTGCTGGCTCTTGATAGGAGTGGGGACCAGGTGGGGGATTCTCCCTCTACCCAGGGCTGGGCTGATCCCCCTACTGCACCTGGTTGTTGCCCCCCACACACACCCCCACTTGAGGAGTTGAGAGGGTGCAGGCCGGGGTCAGGATAGGCTGTGGATGCTTGTGCCTATGGGGAGTTACTCCAATCCACCTATTCTGTCTAATCCCCCATGCCTTTGCACCAAGTCCTCCACCCCCCAATTGGAGGTGACTGTTCACCACCTTGTGGTAAGGGACAACACCCTAAGGCTGGTTCCAGTAGTTATGAGTAGCCTACCACCCCTTCCCTTATAGTAACCACTCCCCCCTCTTCAGGATCAGTCAGGGGAAAGTACTGGAGCCCCTGGGTAGGGAAAGAAAGGAAGGAAAACCATAAAAGGAATACTTATAATGTGAAGGTTTGTAAATAGTCCATGATGATGTTGTGGCAGAGTCTGATTTCTATATAGAGGTGACTTTTTTTTTTTAAATACTGTGCAAGCACTGTGCTTCTGGAGTGTGGGAAATGGCTTGGGGAGGGTGGCCCCCAGCCTAGGAAGACTGTTGTGTTCTTTGTTCAATTTCAATAAAATGATTTGTAGATCCTGCACTTGAGAGTGGCATCTTATGGGGCTGTGACACCCAGTGTCTAGACTACTACCTGGGCTCAATAGGTAGGCCTGGCTCAAGACTCTGGCAGGCCCCCTAAGGCCAACCAAAGCCCAGGGGTAAGCCTGAGCCCAGCCTGTGGCCATCCCAGCTGTGGCCAGCAGGT